AGCCGAAGGACAGAGAATGGAAGTAGTGATCTTCCTCCCATATTTGGGCATACCGGGGGTTGTAAAATCTATAGTTTCTCATTTTAACAATACATACATACATACACACACACACACACCATCTCTATTAGAGAGGGCTATGTATTAATTATAGCAAGACAAAAATTGATCTTTGAATTTTTTAAGCAAGGCCTTTTCCCTTTACAGGATCATATTGGAGAAGAAGTTACAAAGTAAACAGAGGCCTGAATTTGACATTGCTAGAAATGTGCTAGATCTGATTTATGGACAAACCCTAACTTGGTGAGACTCTTTCTTTTCCTTCTGTTGGTTGTTTCCTGCTTTGTTCCTTATACAACACCAACCCCCCCACCCCCGGGATTACAAGCTTCAAAGTATGTTGATCTTTAGAATCCTTGTGTGCATGTGATTTAAAATAATTTTACTCTGCTTTTGTCAAAGTTTTCAAAATACTTCCCAACACACTTATATATTTTAATTTTTTAAGAAATATATTGAATTAACCCCATGAAGACATGTCTGAGATGGAACCTTGGTATTCACTATTGTTCATTATCACTGGCTTCTGTGGTCCATCCCTCTCCATCTCTAAATCAAAGCTTTGGATTACTTAAGCAAATGGGGTGAGGTGCAGAATTGTGTCAGTGCATTGCCTCTTAATGAAATAACAGCTAAGCAACGTAATAACATTTCTTCATCTTTTTAATTTTTTTCCTAGGTTGGGAGTCTTCTTTGCCCCACTTCTTCCTGTGGTCCAAATCCTCAAGTTGCTGCTGTTGTTCTATGTTAAGAAGGTAATTTAGTTGCCATTTTTCTTAGTTCTGAAGCATGTTGCATCACCTGGCAGCATTCCTGAAGAAAGGACAGGAGTGTGGAAGTAGGTACAATATTAGACACACACTCCCCCACCCAGTCAGGATGGAAAAGTTAGCAAATCATATTGAATGGGAGGAGCTGCATTGACCAGAAAGCCGTTTACCGAAAGGGAAATCCATCAGGTGTTCTGGGCCAAGAGGAAGATATTTATTTCACACATTCGGAAGGAGCAGTAAATGAAATGCACTCTTACTCTGACATGTGAATTAGAGAATTTTTGTAAAATAATTTTTTAAAAATGCTTTGGGAGGTTACATTTGCAGAAGAAAATATTTTGGCCATGTTTTATTTTCCCCTCCTTAAAATCACCCTACATTTATTCCTTTGCAGAGTTTAGGCGTAAATTATCCTTAAAGCAGAGGAGAGGCATTTATTGTCTATAGTTCACCTGTTTCAACATACATATATACTGCATGTAAACTATGGCTGTTGGGAATAAGTAAAAATCCATGAATTTTCCTATGAATCTCTCTTAGGTCAGTTTGATGAGAAATTGTCAATGTCCCAGCAAACCCTGGCGTGCATCTCACATGAGCACTATCTTCATCTCTTTGCTGTGCTTCCCTTCCTTCCTGGGTGCCTCCGTGTTCCTCTCCTATACCATCTGGGCGTGAGTCGATTTTCCGTGCAAAATAACCTTGGTGTTACCTTTCAGATGTGAAATATTTCAGACCAAATAGTCACAACTTCCTCCTCCACATTTCTGTAATCTCCATTCTGTCATCCATTGTCTGCTACAAAACAGATCCAGTTTTGGTGGTTTTGGGGAGAAGGGGGCTCTCACCAGCATTATGTTGTAGAACTTGTATCTCCACCCCGTATACAAGTTACCATGTTCCTGTCCTCCTAAGAGGCCAGTGTTCTACCAATGCTAGTTCATTGGTACTCACAGCAGAACCATTTTAACACAATCTATTGTCAGGTCAGGAAACTATAGACTGCCTTTCTGATAAAGTGACCCTCTGATTATTCTGTCATTACAACGTTTAGTAGGATGTTATTTTGACAAAGCACTTATTTTTCCTTTGAGAAATGTATTTCTTAAGCTGCTGCAAATTGCTCTTTCCATTAGTGCAGATATCACAATTAAATGTGTTTTATTTTCCATTCTCAGAACTCCAACTCACACATAATGGCATATGCAGCATCTTTTATATATATCTATGGAGATTCTCAGTCATCCAGATCATGGTTGTCCCCAAAGGTGCTTTTTCAAAAGGTGACTGGACTTTGTTTTTTGTTGAAGAGGTTTCACTTCTCATCCAAGTAGCTTCTTCAGTTCTGACAGTCAGAACTGAAGAAACTTTTTGGATGAGAAGTGAAAAGTAAGAAAAAACTAACTCCTGTTGCCTTTTGAAAAAGCATCTTTGGCACATCTTTTATATATTGTTAAATAAATAAGGAACATATGTTAAGAGGGAAATTGCTTTTTATATGTTGGTGCTATCAATTGTGATTAATGAATACTGAAAACACTGGTTTTATAATAAGCAATACAGATTACATATAAATCTGTAAAATGAAGAATTAAATGTGGTAGTTACATGAGTTACATTTCCTTTTGCTTGACATTTTGATACTCAGCTTCTCTTTCCCCATACAGAATAAAACCATCAGAAATGTGTGGACCTTTTCAAACTTTTGATACCATCTATGATTCTTGGAAGGTCTGGATATTACAGCTGGAAGAATCCAATCCAAATATCACTTGGTTTACCTGGATCCATCAAAACCTCTTCCAAACTTCCTATTTCATGTTGTTAATCGTTGCAATGTTGGTGTAAGTTGAAATGACAAATTTATTTATGTAAGCCTAGAAAATCATAAACACTTCTTAGCCATGGTGCATAAAGTATTTTTGCAGATGTTATGTACCATGCAATTGAGTGATTGAATAGTATGGATAAAGGCTGATTGCATGCCATTTTTCAACTTAATGTAACATCAGGCTACATCAGAAGTTGTTAATGATTTCTGCTGCTGGATATGGCATTAAGTCAAACAGGAATAATTTGCTGTAGATTTTAATGTAATGTAATGTAATGCATAGCTTGGTTTCAATTGAACTTCTAGGAAGTTAATGAAAATTTGTCTTCTTCCAAACAATATAAAAAGCCTTAAAAAGTTAACTGAAAATATTTAATAGAAAATGATTAATGATTTGGAGAAGTAAAATGGAGACTGTATTATAGAAAGATATGTAAAATACAATTGATATTTTAAAAACTGCAAATTTTGTGCAGTATTAATAAAGAGTTATAGAATGAACTGTCAGTTTAAAAAGTTTACTTATTAGTAAAATTTTAATAAAAAATAATAATAAATACAATACGTATAGCTTTAAGACCCATGGTGGCACAGTGGTTAGAATGCAGTACTGCGGGCTAATTCTGCTCACTGCCAGCTGACTGCAGTTCAGCAATTCGAGTCTCACAGTACAGTAACAGACTCTTGCAAGTTTGAATGTGCTTCCTCACTTTATCTTAGTGTGAAGGAGCTTGTCTGAGATACTCGTTCCTTGCAGTGGACTCAAACTGGGCTTGTCTGATCATTGCCTTAGTATTGGCTCTTCCTCCTGTCCTTGAAGGCCTCTCTAAATGCTCTCTACATGCAGTAGGTAGAGATCTCAAGATGCTCACCAGAAGATGTGCTGGCTTATCTGGTCATAGATTATTGATTCCTATCATTCTTCTAAAGGACTATCTTCCCTGTTCTCTGTTTGAAAATACCGGGCAAATGGCTTTCATTTCCCTTGGCCAATTCTCTTAGCCTTTTTGGAGCACGCATTGTTCTTCTCAGTATGTGTTGATTAATTTGTCAGCATAAATATAATATTCTCCAACCTTATCTTTTACAGGGCTGTGATCTACTTCACCATTGAAATGGTAAAGGGTCTGCGGAGTATCATTTCAATACTAAAGGGTCAGATTGCCAATGTGAGTACTAAAGGGGAGTGGTTCCCCTTTTTAAATAATTCTAATTTAAACATAGAGTGAAAAAGAAACATTAGTAATTAAAAGGACAAAAAAACCCTATCAGAAATATTGAAAGCAAATATTTAAAACCTGCATAAACGGAGATTATGTATACATTCATTTGAAACACACAAATATAAACATCTGGATTTATTTTTATTTATACAATTCTTAATGCAGCCCAACTCCCCTACAAGTTGGGGAGGCATGATCAGCAGAATTCATACCATCGTTTACACAATTCCACATTTCCAGAGCCCTTATTTCCTCCAGTCCCAACAGCTATTAGATTTTCCCCATTCTTATGAAACGTTTCTATCTAAAACAGGTTCAATGTATTCCATTTCCAGAGCAAACATACATTTTGATTTGGATACACACACACACCTTAAAAAAATCCGCTAGCAATTGTAGGCATTTTTGTATCCTTATCCATTTTTAGTATTTTTATCTAAACAGACAATTTTAGACAGGAATAATCTGCTATGAGTTACATGATTACCCTGGCTAAAAAATAGAGACTAAATCCAATTTAAAATATTTTTAAAAGGAAAAAATCTTAAAGAGACATTACTGTGTTTATTCTCAGACAACACTGTTTCCTACATTTGTAAAGGCCTCTATCCCCCCAAAAAAAGTTTGTTTGGTTTTCTGTTGTACTGTTATATGGTAGCTAACAAAAATATTCATTTCTAATGTTGCAACATTTTATTTGTCCTAAAAAAAGAAAAAAAATATACAGCTTATTATTAACTTACTGATTTCCTCAAAAATGTTCAACCAAAATTAGTAATTATATGGCGATTGTCAAAGTTGGTAGTATTCACCAATTTAATCACACTTTCTCAATTTGGCTTTACTTTGGGACTTTTTAAAGAAAAAAGAACTTGTCTTCCTGCATTGCCCAACTTACACTAGTTGTAGCTAGGTAGTTGAGGGGAGTGGGCTACAAACTGTCTGTGCCCAAAGCTCTACAGATAAAGTGGACCTCCTACTCTAGGTACTTGAACTGTAATACGACTTTCCCGTTCATACCTATTTTGCCAATCATAAGTAAACTTTTAGCAATCAACTCCAGCATAAAAAACAATTAGCAATCTTGCATTGTATTTGCTTCAGCATTCATAATGTCCACGTTCTATTAAGAAAGTCAATTTCCTGTTGCTCATCTTAAATGTGTCTCATATTCCAGGAAAGAGAAGACAAGAAGTTTCTCATTCAAAGACTTCATATTATATATGAAAAATGAAAGTACAACAGGGTGAAAATGAGGTAAGGTCATTTGGAACTAATCAGGATAGGACAGGACAGTGATATGCCAAACAACGGGACCCAAGCAGTTGGCTAAAAGTTTTGCTCAAACTAGCAGACAGCATATGCTAAATCCACACAGCTAGTAGCCTCATAACTTACAGTTTGGTTTTGGAATTCTGCAATAGTTGTTTTGTGTTTTCTCTCTTTCAGTAGACCAAAATACCAAATGCAGTTACAGGTTTCCCTAAGGCCCTTCCTTCAGTATACAATACTGTAGCATATTTTTGGCAGAAAAATACAGGCTCTGAAGCAAATAGATTTCAGAGGAAGACACATTAGTCTTGTTTTCTCTCTCTTTCTCTCTCTCTCACACACACACACACCAGTGGTAGGATCCTGCTAGTTTCACAAGCGGTTCGGTGATTGCCTGTTTCACACGCCCATGTCCGATGTGCGCTTCGCACATGTGCGCAGTTTTAAGGAAACTTACCTTCCATGTTGCTTCTGGGGAGTAACACAGCTGAGGCGCGGCAGTCTGCTATGCCGCGTGAATCAGCTGAGAGGATATAGGTAAGTAAAGCCCAGGAGTAGGTGGGTGGGCCCACCTGATCATCAGAGCGAACTGGCTTGCTCCAGCTAATCATCAGAGCTACCGATTCGCCCAAACTGGTCCGAATCAGCTGAATCCCACGCTGCCCTGACACATACGCAAATGAGAAAGACTACCCCACTAAACTTAAGATGTTATGCTGCCATGATTACAGGAACTTTCTATGAAAGGACGATGATCTAAGCAGCATCATGAACAAGTAGATGCTGAAATCTTGCTATGACTAACAACATTTTTCCTAATAACATTTTTCTTCTATTTAGGCTCAAGACTGACAGTACTTCCTTCCATCAGAAGTATAGCAGGCATAGAAAAAATGATAAGAGTCTGGGAGAGGGGGAACATATTATAACTGATGTTTAGGCTGGTATTATATAGGTAGTTCTCACCTTACGAACACCATTGAGCCCAAAGTTTATGTTGTTAAGTGAGAAATTTGTTGAATTTTGCCCACTTTACGACTTTTCTTGCCACAGTTGTTAAGTGAATCACTGCAGTTGATAAGTTAGTAACCCGGTTGCTAATGGAATTTGGCTTCCCCAGTGACTGCTTGTCAGAAGGTCCCAAAAGGGGATCACCTGACCCCAGGACACTGCAACAGTTATAAGTATGAACCAGTTGCCAAGCATCTGAATTTTGATCACATGATCATGAGGATGCTACAAAGGTTGTAACTGAAACACTTTTTTTCAGTGGCGTTAACAACTTTGAATGGTTACTAAATGAACTCTTGTAAGTTGAGGACTACCTGTATTTGTTTACTCTTGGGAACCAAGTCTTTAGATCCTCTGTTCAACACATAGGATGCTAGAGGACAATATACAGTAATTCAAGTTTTGGGATTTTATTTATAAGCAAAGATGAGGTTGGACTGTATTTTTCAAATTGGTTTTTTGAGGACAAATTTTAAAAGGCAAGATAAGGTTTGAAAAATGTGTCATCATTAGGAAATGCATTGTTCATTATTGACTCATCACTAATTTTCTTATTACATTACAGATCCATTTTCCCTTAGCATCTTTACCAGCGAATGTACCAAGTAAACTCTTCGCTGAAGGACTTCTTTGGAAAAGGAAAACAGATATGGGACTATCCAGAAAAGGTTTGATGAACATGTTTATGCTGCTGAAGACATCTGACGTTGACTCCCTTCACTTCCTGCATGTGAATGTCATCTACCTTTAGCTGAAGAAGTTATATTCTGTTTGCTGGCCATTCCAGTTTGTCTTCAGCCAAATGGAAACCTTTCCTGAACCAGACTAAGAGCTTCTAGACTTCCTGAAGATTTTTACATACAGTTTTATAATAGAGAACTCAAATGTATTTTATAATGTGCAATAGTCTAAGAACTTTGTTTTGCCAGGATTGTGAAATCTATGACTTCACATGGAAAGTGTAGAGTTACTAGAAAGAAATCTTTTTTTAATAAAGGCTTAATATTATTAAAAATGACTCTTTAAAAAGCTCTCTAGTTACCTGAGCGTAAATTATATTCACTTTTAATTCATTTGCTATTAATTGCCTAAGTGATGGTGAACAGTTGTCATTTGTTAAGTTCTCATAGTGTGCAGTTACTCCAACATGATTGTGCATGCCTACATTTTAACTCATATCCTTTGAATGTATTTTCACTTCAGGTGTAGAGGAAATTTTAACTTTGCTACCTCATCTTTTATTTTCTTTGTGGAAGTAAGGTGTACAATTATGGATCATTTTTCACCATTTCTATGTTCCAGACAGTAAAAAAAAACTGCAACTTTCCTTCTAGAATTGTCTGACCCACAAGAGTCAGGTGAGTGAAAGGAGGTATGAGAATGTGTGTCATGGTGAAAGCAAAGGATTTTTTAAAAAAATAAAGTGTTGCAACCTAAGCCATGTGCTCAAAACTCGCTGAAAATTTCTAGCTGTTCTACACCTAATGCCTTATGAAAATTAAGAAAAGGAGTCCCACTGGATGGTACATGTATGCTATCCCATAATAAAATCTCATGCCTTTTACCTCAGCTGTGCAAAATATTTTCCCAAATATGTTAACTGGTAGTGGAGCAGCAGAACTAATCTCATTTCTGGACATGTTATATCTCCACTCTCTGCATATTGAATATTAAGGATAGTCTATGCTTGCTTGAATTTATAAATTGGAAATACTACTTTAACAATCAATAAGGAAATATGTTTCCAAATCAGAGATTCAGAAAGTAATGTTACAAGACTAATAACAGCTCTACTTCTTAGATGTTAGTGGCTCTCCCTTGCTGGCTCTATTTTTTTGCCCAAGCTAATTCCTCATGGAAATAGTTCTTTATTTTGGCCTGCAAATTAAATATCTTCTAAAGAACAAATTACTAAAACAAAGTTACTACTAAATTTCGATAAAATGAAAGTAACGATGAAGCTTGTACAGATAATGCTGTAAGAGCTGCTTAATCATTGACACAGGAAGCATTTTTACTCTATGAAATATTTATTTCAAATAAATATTTAAGTGTCTAATTTGGAGCATTGTCATAAAAACACCAGTAAGAAAATATGGCAGCATAAAATAGGTTAGTTTATAGCATTCAGATGCATTGAGTTCATAATTGGCTGGCTTTTGGTATTAGGAATTCAGTGTAATTAATTAAAGCTCCCATTAAACTGGGTGTTTATGGAGAGTGAACACAGAGATACAGCATGATGAGATGGAAGAGTCAATTCTATGGGTCTACCCATTTTGTGAGACAGGAAGAGAATGTCATCTGTATTCACCTCTAGTAAAACCATCTTTGTTATTGTCCAGCAGTAGGTGCAACTGAACTGAATGCCAGCATTCATTCTGTAAATATTCTTTATTATACTTTTAACCCTAGTACATATTTGGTTTCTTATAAGCCATTCAAAAACTCTTGAGAGTCACTGAATTAGACTAAGTAAATAAATGCATTCAAATAACTGGTTAGTGGCTCTGATGGAGGCCACTGATACCAAAAGAGAATAAAATGGAAAGCTGAGAAGATAAAAGTTTAGGTGAAAAAAGAGGCAGAAGAGCTGAGGGTTAAGCAGAATACATCCAATATTGATAAGCTCTCATCTTGTTACATCTTAAACTTTACAATTTTTAATTGGTTGAGAGAACTAATTCGTTCAGAACTTCAGAATTGCTACGTTGCATACCCATTTTGTAATTCAACTATAATCTACTGACTTTTTTTGCTGATGTCCCATGACTCAGCTAATCTGGTTCACATGATGGTATGAGCTGACCAAAACCCTGAATTCCAAGAATGGGAGATTCTTGTGAGAAGAAATCAAAGTCAAGGAAACACTAGGAGAATCAACACATTTCTAATGCCTCTCCCAGAAAATCAATAGTGTACAGTACAGCAAACATTGTATATGATATTTAATATAGCAGGTCAATCAATGGTGGGTTTCAAAAATTTTTAGAACCTCTTCTTTTGGTGTGGCCTGCTTTGTGGGAGTGGCTTGCTAGCCATGTGACTGGGTGGGAATGGCTTGCCAGCCATGTGACCGGGTGGGAGTGGCTAACTTGTAAAATGTAGTGAAACTCACTTAACAACGCTCTTGCTTAGCAAACAAAATGTTGGCTCAGGAACTCTGACATTGAAGTGTGCAAGTCTTAAAGCTGTCAAGTTACAAGGCCCTTGCACCCCTAACCCTTTAGGAAAAAAAAACCTGGGATGTTCAAACTTAACAGCTTTAAGACTTGTGGACTTCAACTCCCAGAATTCCTCCTCTCACTTGATCATCTTGGTGATGTCCGGACGGGTGGGGGGAGGTAGCTGGAACCTGTTCTAAACGGCACTGTAGATTTGTGGAACCTCTTCTATAGAAGAGGTTAGAACTGGCAGGAACCCACCCCTGAGGTCAATGTTGCCCCTGCACACTGGTCTGGAACAGCAGATTGCACCATTGGCAAAAGCCATCTGCTAAACACCGTCAAGTTAATACTTTGTAGGTTTGAATTTTTGGTTAGATCACTGTGTAGAAAATAATTAAATACTGACAACTAAAACACAAGAGACTATGCACACAAACTCTTGAATAAGGTATTAAGACTTGAGCAATCTGAATTTCTAGTGTGTTATAGAACAGAATTTTGTTTGCTTTATACTTCCATCAAATCTGACTTCATACAAAGCACAGAAACATATGAGTGAAATTAAATTTCATGTTGTCTACAAAACCTTATACTTGCCATTATTTCAACTCTACAAATCTTCATCTAAAGAAAATGATACTGTATATCATTACTGGGCTTACCGTTAGCAGCTACAATATTCCCTTTCAATGCATCTGCATGCAGTAGCAGCAATCCAATTTGCCAGTTAAGAGGCGATCCACTGAATAATTTAAATGACATATTTCTACATCAAAGTTTGTGATAGCAATGTTGATCCGCGGCTTGCAGGAAACACTTCAGCTTCCTGACGTTTCCAGATTCCAGCTTCAATCGTGCAGGGTGGATTGAAACCATTTCATTACATCAGATAAGCCCCTGCCGTCTCGTGCACTGATCTCAACCACAGTGATAACCTGTTTGGCCTGAGCAATGATATCATGGATTCGGAATAATGACTTCATCTCCACCAGGGACATGTAGCATGGTAGGTCACTAGGATTCAGAATAGTGAGAAAAAAAAGTAGTTACACACCCATTTCTATTTGTCTGCTGAGCTGACAAAGCCACTAATGTTAAGTCTTCTGTGTGGAAATTCAGCTTAATTTTCTTACATTTTGTTGAAAATGAGGAGGACAGGAACTGATGTTAGCTGTTCAGCAGAAAGGAGGGACAGAAGCTGGACACAGGATGCAGAAATCTGGGTAGGGTTGGCAGCATCAATCATATACTGCAAGAGACAGCCATATACTTAAATAATATCCTAAAGCACTGTATAAGCTTATTTGCTTATTTCACTATTTGTGCTGCTTGCCATGGCAAAATTAGAAATACATAAAAATTTAGTACAATCTGAAATTTCCCCAAATGTTATAATTTATAGACAATGGGCTCTAAGATTATATTTTTACAACACTTTAATCCTTTTATTCGGGGTGGAGTTGGGGCAATTGAATGGAGCTGAGAGTTTACTGACTGGATGCCCTTCCTGACACCTATGTGGAATTCGCATAGGTATCAGGAAGGGCATCCGGCCATTAAACACATTAAACAAACACTCAGCTCCATTCAGTCACCAAACTCCACCCCAAATAAACAGCTTAAAGAGTGAATGCTAAATATAATATATGCATAGCTATGTATAAGAAATTGTTTACCCTATATACAACACATTAAATACAGGTTTGGGATTATATTTTCTTATAAAGGAATACCAGCCCCACCAGATTGTTGAAATGACAATAAAACCTACTTGACTTGACTTGACCAGATCTGGCAGAAGGGATATTCTCCAAGTCCCATTGATTAAAGAGCATCACTTGGCAGGACTCAAGAGATGTGTTATCTTGTAGCATTGCCTGTCCTTTGGCATACCTTTCCTCCCAATATGAGATCAGCCCCAAACCTAGCTAGTTTCTGATGAATCCTTAAGACCGGGCTTTTCTTTCAGGTACAATAGAACCTCTGGTCATCTGATAATTCGTTCCATAACTTTGGTCGCAACCTAATTTGGTCATGACCCGAACCTAATTTTGGAAATTTGGCGCTTGCAAAAAAAATGGTGTGGAAGGGGAAATTGGCCATGAAAAAAGAAAAAATGTGAATTTTTGATCGGAACCTGATTAGATCATGGTCAGAAGCGTTCGTGACCAGAGGTTCTACTGTATGTGGCTGGGAAGTCCCGTGGTTGTGAACGTGAGTTGTGCAAATTTGTTATTGATTGGTTTAGCCTTTGCCATTTTTCATTTTTGCTTTCTCATGTTTTTATGTACTGTATTTTGTGTTGCACAAAAACAATCTGAAAGACCAGATTAGGAACTGATCGTCCTGGAGACAATTTTAATCTATGTGGTTGCTGAGAGTTGAGAGTCAACACTGACTTCATGGTGCATAATCAATTTTATTACGTTGAAGTTTGGGTTAGCTATCCAGAGTCACTTTATGTAAGACGGAGATCATATAAATCTAATACATAAATACTCTAGCCTAAGAAATAAGAGTATATGTTGAGATTATAAAACCAATTGACATGTCCCAGAACATCTAGAATCGGTTAAAAACCCTCTGAATAGAGTTGAAAAGTTAGAAACACGGTTGTTAAGAGAATCTGGCTTCCCCATTGCCTTTGTGTGTCAGAAGGTTACAAAAGGTCATCACACGACTCAAAGACACTGCAACCGTCATAAATATGAGTTACTTGCCAAGCATCTGAATTTTGATCATATGACCATGAGGATCCTGCAACAGTTGTAACTGCGAAAAACATCAAGTCCCTTTTTCATTGCTAATGTAACTTCAAATGGTCACGAAACTAATAGTTGTAAATCGAGGACTATTTATTAATATTATTTATTAATAAAATTTATAGACCACCCAATCCCGAAGGACTCCCGACTATCTGTATTTGTTTGGCATTTTTGCCCACATAGCAAAAAACTTCCAGCAGGTTAAAATCTCAATTGTAACAGAGTACCCATGGCACAATTATAAATTTAAAGTAAACAATACAACAAAATAAATAAATAAAATTACTGCTCAAGTTAACCACCACCAGCAAATAGAAACAATAAATTGCAACAAATATAAAACTTTGAATAGTGCTATCTTCAGTAGTTACCAAAAGCTTATAAAGTGGGAACTGATCGAATGTTAGGGGCAAGATGTTCTGGAGCAGGGATGTCAAACTCGATTTCATAGAGGGCTGCATCAGGGTTGTGTTTGACCTCTAGGGGCTGGGTGTGTGTGGCCGGG